CAGCGAACAGGTGCTCGCTCAATTGCTCTAGTGACCAGCATACCAAGTTTGTGTCTTAAGTCTTTTGTTTTGATTTCGTCGTTTTTTTGATACCAACTCATTTGTTTGCCAAACGAAATGCTTCTTCCTCTGCAGCAATTGCTGAACCATAAATCAGGGTAAGAAGAAAGAAAAAAACACAGGGAATTAAAGCAAAAAAGGAGAAATAATGAGTGCAAGTATTTTTGTACACTGCCAGTTATTTTGATAGGGTAAGAGATTGGAACATGATTTTATTGGAATTCAGTAAAATTGAGGGATAGTAACTCAATTTTCAAAGCCACAAAGACAAGAAATTAAAGTTTTCCAGGTGGTTGTCACGCTTTGAAGATGTGTGAGTACTTATAATAATAGGTAGGGTTGTTTCTCTAGAGACTACTTTTTATACCCTCCACATTGCTATGGAGGACATATATTTTTTTGTGACTCCTCGAAATACTTATGCCAGACCTAACAAAGTATATATATTCCTAATCAGATATAATGAGATCAAAATTCTAAGACGATTTAGCTACGTCTTCTTATATACAGGGTGAGATGAAAAAACTGCAACCAACTTCAGACTGCTGTCATTTCTAAGCCACTCGTCCGACAGCAGTTAAAATTATTCCAGTGACAGCTCATTATATTATTTATAAGCGTACAAAAGCATTTTGGTGAGAATTTTACAGAAAAAAAGTTATTCGTGATGGAATTCAAGCGTGATTTTTTTATATTTGGCTGGAAAGCCACAAGTGGCTATCGTTAGATCACTCCAGCATTTGAATGTGAATAAATCTTTTGTGTCTCGTACCATCGCTCGTTAACGTTATACTGGTAGCGTAGGCCGACGTCAAGGAAGTGGACGGAAGAAAACAGCAACATCAGCAGAAATAGTTTGAAAAGTAAGGAAGCGATTTTTTAGAAACCCGCATCGCAGTGGCCAAAAAATGGTTCGTGAGCTGAACATATCACAATATTCCATTCGGCAACTATTGAAAAATTAAAAAAATTAAAGTTATTGAAATTCCCAAAAGTGCAAGAACCTACTTCGCAACAGAAAGAAAATAGACTCAAAAGAGCTAAAGAGTTGCTTCGCCTAGCCGAAAGTGGTGAAAAGTCGAATTTGGTTTTCTCCGATGAGAAAAATTTGGTTGTCCAGCAGTTTGCTTGAGATCGTGTTTACATGCCAAAGAGGTCAGCTGAAAATGTGCACCTTCGGCTGGCCACCAGAACTCAAGCGCTGGCAATGGTGATGGTATGGGCCGCCATAACAGCCGATGGTCGCTCCCCGCTCGTATTAATCGACCGTGGCATCAGAATAAATGCCGAATATTATGGCGAAAATATTCTGGAGGGTGTATTAAAGTCTTGGAGACGATAACATTTTGGCCGCAGACCTGAGACAATCCAACAGGACTCAGCACGCGCCACCCAAGAAAGGTTACAAAATGAGGTTCCTCTCTTCATTTCCAGCGCACAATGGCCACCAAAATCTCCGGATACCAATCCGTTGGACCATTGTGTCTGGAGTATTTTGGAAAGCAAGGTTGGCTCTAAAAAATACCAAAGTGTCGATCACCTCAATCAAGCGTTTCGTAGGGAGTTGGCCAAAATGCCGCAGAGCAACATTCGGGCAGTGTGTGACGGTTTCATTGGCCGTTTGAAGGCCAAAATTTGTGCCAAAGGGGACCAATTCGAACAAATCTAAACTTATTCTGAAATTTGATGCTATTTCCGACATTTTTTTGCTTTAATTCAATAACATTTAAAACAAAATGTAAAAATGATGGCGTTTGACTTTGTAGCAGTTTTTTATCTAACCCTGTATAACTATACCTATATAACATATATAACTATACCTCGCTACTTCGGATTTTAAGGATGTTACGAGCATTGTTCAACAGAATAGTTTTAAATTTCGTATTTGAAGGTCGCTGATTTGTTTCGCAGATTGTGACAGATACAAGTATTGAAAATTGTCACCCAGAAGGGTTTCGCAGATCCCCAAGAGATCTTGCGTTAGCAAAAATATTTTTATGTGTTAAATTTGAAGAGAGTTGGATGCTTAATTCGCCTCTTCTTTGAGTGTTTTGTTTTTCAAAATCTTGAACCCTATGTGGGGGAGGTATTAGAAGAAATGGTCCGATCTCTACCATCTTTATAAGAGATATTATCTTGATAAAAATATTCAGATGTGCCAAGTCTGAATGGAATCGGATGTCAATTTCGCATTTTATGAGCTTCGTAGAAATTTCAAATTTTGACCCTTTGTGGGGGAGGTACCAGAAGAAGTGGATCGATATATTCCATCTTCACAGCAGATCTTGTGTTAGTAGAAATAAAGGGATGTGTGAAATATGATAAGAACCGGATGCTTATTTCGGATTTTATAATCGGTTTGGTTATTCCAAACTTTGATCCTTGGTGGGGGAGGTTCCAGATGGAATGGTCCAATCTTTACCATATTTATTAAAAATCTTGTGTTGATAGAAATTTTGAGATGTGCCGGACAGGAATCGGATGTCAATTTCGCGTTTTATGAGCTTCATGATTATTCAAAATTTTGACCCTTTGTGGGGGAGGTACTAGAAGGAGTGGGCCGATATATTTCTTCTTCACACCAGACCTTGGGTTAATAAAAATATTGTGAAGTGTGTGATTTGAAGATAACCGGGGTCTTATTTCACATTTTTAAGAGTTATAATTGTTCCGAATTTTGTCCCCTTGTGGAGGATATACTTGATGGAGTGGACCGATATTATCCATTTTCGCACCTGACCTAGAACTGACGCAAATATTTGGATTTACGAAGTTTGGATTCGGATTCTCATTTCTCTTTCTGTGTAGAAAATATATATTTTTTTAAAAAAATTCGACCTTTTGTGGGGGAGGTACCAGAAAGAGTGGACCGATACACTCCACCATAACAACAGACCTTGTGTTAATAAAATTATTGGAATGTGTCATATATCACATTTTATAAGAGTTGCAATTATTCAAAATGTTGACTCTTTGTGGGGGAGGTACTTGATGGAGTGGACCGATATTGTCCATTTTTGCACCTGACCGAGCACTGATAGAAATATTAGGATTCTCAAAGATGGAGCAAAATCGGATTATCATTTCTCTTTCTGTGCAGTAAATTATTTTCTTTGAAAATGTTGACATTTTGTGGGGGAGTTACCAGAAGTAGTGGACCGATATTGCCCATCTCCGAACTCAATCTAAATTTGGCAATAATATGACGATCTACCAAGGTTGGATCCAGTCGGATACTTCCTTCGAGAGTTATCGTGCGCACCAGCCAGACAGACAGACAGATCGGACGGATGGACTTCCCTAGATCAACTCCAAATGTCCTGAAACGGATTTTGTCCAAAGAGGCCTAAGGTGTAAGACCGTTATTTTGATGATGCACGTTTTGGTCATATCAAATTATATATACCCTCTCTAGCCATATGGATGAGGGTATAAAAATACATTTCATTATTAGTTTTAATTTTGAACCCAATTTTGGGTCCGAATTAAAAATCAACTTGTTTCCAAATCACGAATAAAACACAGCAACAATTATTGAAAAATGTAAAAAAGTGAAATAATTTTTTTCAAGGTGGTCAAAAAAATGACCTTAGACATCTATAAAACAATTTTACACATTTTCCAAATTATTCCAGGGCAATCTAGTTTAATTTGATGAATTATGTTATTTGCCGTCAGTGTTGGGTAATCTGTGTTACCAAAAAAAAAAAAATAATAATAAAAATAAACTAGGTGCCGGTCGGACAAAGCCAATGCTAGAGGAGTTAGCAAACACAAATGTAATTGTCCACATTTTCATTTTTTTCTTTTGTTTCTTTTCCCAATTATAGGCCACTATCACATAAACAATTTGCAATTTTCTTGTTTCGGACCGAAAGCCAAACAAAGCTAAAAGGGGTTGTCCAAGTTTAATTGAAATCGAAATCAAAACAACATTTGTTTTTGTCTGTTTTCTTCAAATATTTGTTTGCCATTGTTAGGCCAAGCCATGCCAACCTGACGGCTTCTATTCCAACTAAAAGCCATCATCATCACATCATCAGCAGCATTGTTATCGTTGCTGGCTGTTGTTGTTGTGTGCATGAGGCACGTTTACATGCCACAAAAAGAAGCGAACCGAGTCATTTGAAAATCCATGCTTGACCAGCACTTTCATTTGCAGTACACCACCACCACGTATGGTGTACGAGCGTCTCGTGCCCCTTCCTTTCCCAAAAAACAAAACAGCACATGGTCCGCCAAAGACGGCGCACATGCGCAGTGTTTCCCAAAGTGAGTGAGAGAGTGAGTGCGTGCGTGTGATTGTACCACCATGGCCAAAGAGTTTCCATGCAATGTTGGTTTTTTTCTGCTGCTAGAGGAGCCGGTTTGCAGCCGAGTTTCGCATTCGAGCTTTGGTTACATTCTGGTGTCCACACTTCAGTCAGTTGGCTTTGAAATTTCTAATTGAACTGACGACGGTGACGGTGTAGCGGGAAAAAAAAACAAATCTTACAATTGCGAAAAAGTAACCGTTACAAAAATTGCGGGATTTACGGATTAAAATCCAAATAATAATAAAAAAAAAAAACGAACAAAAAAATATTTAATTTCATTCAAAAGTGTTGGAAGTCATTTCACATCGGGTGTCATGAAGTTGATTGATGTGATTATTTATTTGATAGCAATTTTAATCTTCATTTATGTGTTGTTGAATTAGATTGTTGTTCGTCGTTCCGTCCCGTCAACAGCGTCAACAGCAACACCGCTTGGCTACTACTTTTTTTCTAATTTTCTTCATTTTCACTTGAAGATATCCTTCTTTCGTTTGTCTAAATTGAAAACAAAACAACTTCACTTTTTTCTACAACTGCAACTTTCATCTGATTTCCATTTGATCAAATATTTGTATTTTTGATCAAAAAAAAAAACATCACAAAAAAGGATTCTTTGTTTTTGATCACAACTGCATCACAATGAAGGTAAGTAAGGCTGTGGAGGAGACTCTACAAAGAAAGCAAAGAGAAAATACAGAAATATTGAAAATTGTCTTATTTTGAATTGAAAAAATAGATTGGGGTGACAATAAACATTGCCAAGATTTCACTAACCAACGAGACATTTGAATGACGATAGAGACAAGTTTCTTTTGAATTCTACATATTTGGCGGCATTTGAAAATCCATGAAGGGGGGAGGGGGGTGTTGAGATAATAAACCCGATTAGATTGAATTAATTAATTAATAGAAAAATGAAAAAAAAATGTAAAAAAGCAGCTAAGTTCGACCGGGCCGAACTTTTAATACCTTCTATCATTTTGAAGGGACTTGAACAATTTTCGTAGAAAAATCCGTAGAAAAATACCTCTAAATTAAAGCCCCTATATGGGCTCGCCCTTATGTATCCTCGAAGACAAGGTTTTTTTGTCATAGGCTGTAGCACCGATTCCGAACCTGCGTACGCAATTTTCAGCCATAGACTGTTGTAATACCAATTACGAAATTTAAATACAAAAGTTGAAACAATTCCGGTAAAGAAATGTTGCTAAAATCATCAAAATACCGAACATCCGGAAAAAAACGTTATATGGTAGCTATACGAAGACATGAACTGACGTGGCCTATTTACGAACTTTGAGGACTTCAGTCCCAATACCAAATTTAGAAACATTTAGTACTTTTCGTACAATTATGGGACATATTTCCAAACCCTTCCCCACATCACAATTCCAGATACCAACACAGACCCCAATATCAAATTTCACAATTCCAGCCCCATAACTTGACCCAATACCAAAGTCAGTACTATTTAAAACCTTTCGTATAATTATAGTACACTTTTCTAAAATCAACTCCATATCTCAATTCCAGATATCAACAGACACCACAATACCAAATTTCAGGATTTCTTATCTATTCCTTTATCCAATACCAAATTTTGTACCATTTAGTACTTTTCGTACAATTAAAGTATACATTTCCAAAACCACTTCCATATCTTAATTCCAGATACCAACATAGACCTCAATATCAAATTTAAGGATTTCAGTTGTGTTCCTTCACCCAATACCAAATTTAGTTCTATTTAGTACTTTTCGTACAATTATAGTACACATTTCCAAAATCACCTCCATACCTCAATTCCAGATACCATCAGTGGAATCTACATCGAATTTCAGGATTAAGCTCTATTTCTTCACCCAATACCAAATTCAGTACGAATGTGTACCTTTCGTACAAATATAGGACGCATTTCTAAACCACCGCCAAATCTCAATCCCATATACCAGCGAAGACCTCAATATCAAATTTGAGAATTCCAGCCCTATCAAAATTTAGTAGCATTTATTGCGTTTCGTACAATTATAGTAAACCTTTCCGAAATCACCTCCATATGACCAGCACATAAACAGTGACCCTAATACCAAATTTCAAGCACTATATGTTCACCAAATACCCAATTGTACCAAATATAGTACTATTTAGTATTTTTCGTGCACTTGTAACACCTAATTCCAAAACTACTCCTTCAACACAAACCTACCAGGGATTCCAATAAAAAAATTTCAAAATTCCAGCTTCTTTTTTTAAGAGCACTTCCGAGTCACTCCTGTTCGAAAAATTAGAGTGGGCTCCCTATGTTTGATTTATTTTTTCTACTCCCAGAAGTGCTTCGCTCGAATTCGAGAAAGTTTCACTCTTTTGCTCGCATGAGAGCAAGTTGTTCTGGGGTCTGGTTTAAAAATATATTTTTGAGACTTGTCCAAAATATCATGTCAACATTTCGGAAAACTGCTCTATATGGCATCTGGTTCACTCGGAACTCTCCAAAATGGAAAGTTTCCATTAGAGCATCCCCGATGATAAACTTTTGACATTCTACAACGCCTTCACCAGGAGTTGTACTCGGCAAAACTCCTCCTCCTCCCGGAAATTTATTAAATACAGTCCCACCAGCAATCGGAGGCGGCCCACCTCGTTTTTCCGACATTGGAATGGTGTTCAATTCCAGTGCACCATCAAATAGAAGTGAGATGTCTCAGACCCCAAAGGGGAACTTACAAGTTTAGTCTTCTTAGTTGTTCTCGAGGGAATATAAAATCATCACCCTTGGAAGAACAGTTACGTTATTCGCAAAATTCACAGCTACCCAAAAAAAAAATCTCTTAGAGTTCCTTTTTCTTTAGAACATTTTGAAATATTCTGTTAAGAGGGGTTGAGTTCTTCTTTGGCCGTCCCAGGCCATTGTAAAACCTTTTTTCCATGATTTTGAAAAAAAATATATATAAATCACGAAAAAAAAAAAATTTCATATCACTTAAATTTTTTAAAATACGTCAAATATCGAGGTATCTTTAAGGTGAGGGTACATAGGCAGTTTGAAATCTCGGCCTGGCATATTTTGTGACATATCGTAAAGGAATGTTAAAGCCGCACTAATAATTTGACATTAATATACCTGGCAATGATGCCAAGCTTCTTATGTGTCATCACCTTTATATTGGATGTCTACCAAACAGTGGGAATTTTTTGACATTTTTTTGCAAGAAGGAATACATATTGTACTAAGAATCCAAAATGTCAAAATTGCATATAGAAAATCTACTATTAATAAACGTGGACCAACCTTCACTAGGAAATCGGATCAATTAGTTCTATAGAAACATTTTTCCACGACTTACCATATATTATTTATTTATTTATTGTACTTTAAATGATTGCTTAGTCAATATGTTGTTTAAAGTCTTACATATTGAAAATTAACATTATCCGCCAATCAGAAATAGTTTTTTACTTGAACGAATTTTCAAAAATTTAATAAAAAAAATTATCATTCGTTCCCATTCTTTCTTAAATTTGCCTACCATTTTCTGATATCTTCCTACTTTTACCTTAAACATGGTATTCTAAATTTTATTTATCACAGACAAAAAGAAATCTGATTATCAATTATGGTATTAATTTTTAATTGGAACACTTTCCAAATAAGCATGTTTACACAAAGCTGTAGCGAAATGCACGTTCTGCCAGTGATCTCAAAAACGATTGTCAAATTAATAACATTCAACATTTCTTGTTGAAGACGACACTTAGTCACAGCAGAGCAGCAGAGATCTTCATTATCTGCATACAATAATCAAAATTGTTGTTGATGCCTTTATGTTTAAATTAAACGTTATTTGTTTTTAATGCCAGCCCGGTATTATTTTGTGCACCAGTTAATGTTGCCACTCAAGTTTTGGCACTCGTGTGTGTCGAAGAATCAAAATTGTCAACAATTGCACGCAATTTTCATCTGTGAGTTTAGATTACAAAAGTCAATTAATTAATGTACATGTTTTAGACATTAACAAACATAGTTTAGAATAGGAATAGTATTGGGACAAAGTGGCCTAAAAAATGTGCAAAAAATAAGTATAATATTTTAATTTTCAATTTGAGAGACCTTCGTCGAATACATTGTTAGAAGAAGAGTAGGGAAGTTGTTTTTTCCATTAAGGTTACTTTTAGATATGAAGTCTTAAAACTATTTTAAGCTCTCCTTTACTAGGTTTTTCCTGTAATCATAGAAAGACTTGAATTTTTGTCTCCTAAATGATCTAAATTTAACGTTGGCCATCTAACGATGGCTTCTTTACTGGTTATTTGAACTCTCCAATCAAAAAAAACTTATTTTCTAATTTTCCCTCTACACCTTTCCCCATCGCCAATGACCCGAATGCACACATTCCATTCTTTTTATATAACAACTATTGATTTGTTAATATTGCCTATAAATTATGATAATTATGTATGTAACGCAATACAGTGACTACCTTTTTTTAATATGCAAAATATGTATTAATGCCTATTTGGATTGTGGTGAAAATTTCACTTGTGTCATACCTCGAAAAAGGGCACTCCATACCACAAAAAAAAAACACAATATTCAAATGTCACGTTCTCAAACAAACCCTAAAAATGTGCACAGCACAGTTTCCGAAGGAAGTCAAAGCTTTCGTTTTCAATTTCCAATAAATACATGGCATAGAAACGGTATTGGCAGTTGGTAATCAAGTGGGTTTCTTGCATTTTGCAACAACAAGACACACACATAGTAATAACAGGCCCAGTTAATATACAAGTAAATAAACGATATTAGTTTCAATTTTGTTGCTGTTGTTGTCTGGAAATTTCATTATAACTCAGCGTACACTTGACAATGAATAAAAGACATTAAATAGACAAATGAACAGACAGACGTAGCCACTTCAAGACCTTAACTCCACCAATCGACCAACCCCACCACTGCAGCTAACTAACCATTTAACTACCTGCCACGGAATACGTCAACAATCAATGCTACGTGATTTTATGTTTCATCCATCTATGGCCACAATTCACTGGTATCGCTTCCATATCTCTCCAATGCCCAAGCGCACAAGCCACAGACACACTTTTGATTTGGCATTTTTTTTCTTTCGTTTTATCGGCCGTTTTGGGCTTAAGCGAGTGTGGCTATTTATAATTAAGAAATTTATTGATTTAATTGCAGAGCAGCAGTACTTTTTGTTACTATTTGTTGTTATTCGTCTGTTGGATTACCACTTTGTTGCTTTTGTTGTTTTTGCTAACATCCAAAATATGTTGTTTGTTGTATTTCATATTGTTTTAGAAAGTAGATAATCGTTACAAATCACAAGCAGGCTGACTGGACAAAGTAGTAAAGTTGGGGAAAAAGAAAATATATTAATAAACTTTTTTTATTTATTTTTTTAATCCTAAAAAATGGATAACAAGTGGTCTAAAAATCGGGAGTTGTCCAAACAAAATCCCAGTGGGAAAATGGAAGGTATGGTAAACGAAGAGGTAATGCATAAACACTATGATTTATACATTCCAGAATTCATTATTGTTAACACGGTCCATGTCCTAGGAAAATAATGCATTCCTTTTGTTTGCCTAAGCGATTCGTAATATAATGCAATCTATATAATGCATTTTGGACAATCTTTTAAGTATACATTATATAATTGATGTATCTCAATGCATTAAATAATTAATACTTTATCATTTGTTTTATAATTCATTCCCCCAGAATACAAATTATGTTCTTTTAATTTGAAATATAATAATTTATTAATAATAAACATAGTTTATATGCATTTTATAAATATATGTACGTATTCTTGGAATACAAAAACATAAACAAACTCATTGTGAATACATACAAAAACATAAAATATAATACATTTTTGGATTATGTTTAAATAAATTCTTATTTCTCGCTACGTTTTTTGGCGAGCTGTGCTTTCTTAAACTGCCTTAATTTTATCAAATGGAATGCCTTTTTGACATCCTTCTTATATTCCTTCTCGTCGTATCCTTCCCTCCTTGACACCTCTGCAATAAATAATATATGTATTAATATGTATATTTTAAAAGTATTTAATGTAGAAAATTTCAACAATTTTACTTACCATACATTAACTTATTTATATTTTCAAAGGACTTAAAAGCCATTTTTCCTTTTATTCCTTCAAAGTTATAGTTCATAATCAATTCTTCGGAAAGTACTCTACATAAGTTTTTTACAACTCCAGAAGGAAACAATATTCTTTCCATGATGGGTATCTGGAAAAAAAGAATTTGTCGTTAATAATTATATTAGCATTTTTTAATATTATTCAATACTTACAAACGAAGCGAAGTCTTCCCCAATTTTTTTCTCAACTTTGTGGAGATCTGCCTCATTTTGTATGGGAAAGTATATTTTTTTCCAATCCTGTGTCAATAGAGTATCTAGTTTTATTTCAATTTTGGTCAGTACATTTATACATGTATCAAATTTATCTGCAAAAGTATGAAACTAAAGTGTTGATTTTAATATATATAAAATTATTTATGATGTAATGTTTATGAAATAAAATACTTACCATTTAGTAGTTTAATGTTTTTCTCAATATCTTCTATTCGGGCCATTTCTATAATATAAGAAATATGTAATTTATTTATTAATATATATATATTTAAGTATTTTACCTGATTTTTTATTTTCGTCAGTTTGAAGTATTGCGTTCTGGGGTGCAAGGGGTGACACAAATTGTTTTTTTATTATAGACATTTCTTCACTTCTTCACTGTCACACAAATGAAACAAAACTAAACAAATTTACGAATTTCAACAATAACGCGACATGAAGTCGCCCGAAAATAACGGGACAAAAAAAAAAAAAAAAAAGAAAAAAACTATAAAACTACACATTCCATCGTGTATAGATTCTGGAATATAGACGGTAATCAATTTGCAGATTTCGTCAAATGAAATTACCATTTCGCTTCTATTGGGATGAATAATATAATGCATTCCATAACAATAATGTTATAATCATTTTTTGCTCAAATTGCATTCTTTTCTCGAATATTTTAGACAAATTCTGTAATGTAAATCATATAATGCAAGAAATTATTCATTATCAATGTAATGCATTCTCCATTTTCCCACTGGGATATTACAACCAATGAGGGGTATTTTAATAGGTGAGAGAGAGAGAGATTGTGACAGTTCTTACTCTGAGAGTTTGCAAATTCTTGCTGGACAAATTTCTTCTTGCAGTCACTTGCAACTCTTCTTCTTCTCCTTCCAGTGATTTACATTTGATCAAGCAATTATTTTAAGCCTTTTCTTTTCGTCTTTACTTTGGAAATCACATGCAAGGCAATTTGTTTTCATCAATTTTGGTTTCACACATTTGCCTTTTCTGTTTTTTCATTACCTCTGCCTCTTGCTCTTACAAACAGAGACTTGCCGCAAGTAAACTTAACTAATGAAAATGTAGACATAAATCTAGAAATAAAACGTGGACTAACTAATTCTATTTGAAAACCCTAATAAATTTATTTATTTCTTTTTTTTTCATTTCAGCCCTTCTACTTAACCCTGCTGTTCTTTGCCTTACTGGCCTTTGCATTGGGCGAGCCACCACTGAGTAAGAAATCTCCCTATTTCTATAATGTACCCTTGAAGAGCGGCAAGCAGACGTCATTTTTGCGATCACCCAATTCGAAGCAGAAAACCCTAGTTGTCCAGATACGCAGCGATGAACCTAGTCAATTGGTCTTGAAAGGTCGTCCAAAGTTGGGTCACTCCCATGCCCATCAAATTCACCAACATCATGCCCATACGCATGCACCACACGCCCACATTCATCATCACATCAATGCTGCGGCCAGTTCACATCATCATCACAGGGCCCACCCCAGGCCCATCAAGTTGTCCTCACCAATCTATTTGAAAAATCCCAATTTAATGCGTAAACCATTGAAGCTTAAATTGAACGGTGCTAAACTCAAGCCATTGAATATTCACAAACCGGCTACCAGTTATGATGTGCCCTTCAAGTATGAGAAGCCCATTTCCTTTGCCAGTTCAGAGGTGCAGCATTTGCCGGTAAGTTTCCCTCATGTTTTATAAAAGAAAACCAAATTAAAAAAAAAACTTCTCTCCTTTCAGTTGGAACACCACACAACCTTCATTGCCGATCACTTTGATCCCATTCACACAATCCCCGCCCCAAATCTGTCGCTGCAAGACAATCATTTGCATCCCGAGGAAAGCTATTTGCCACCCACTTCATCATCGCCCAAACCCCAAGTTTATCACCAACAGCAAAACAACTACCAAGTTGTAGAGGAGAACACCAACGACCAAACTATTGTGGATAACTTCTCTGGTTCGCAGAAATACTATGCTCCCGATCCGGATCCATCATTGCCCGCTCCCCAAATCCGTCCAGCCGTTGAACCTTTCAATACACCAAGCAATGGCAAACCATTGCCGGCTGATATTCAAAGTAATCAATTGCCAGTTGCCCAACCTTTGGTGCAGATCGTCGGTGCCCAGGCTTCCAAACAGATTGTTCCCGAAATCTATCCCATACAATTTACTCAACCCCTCGTTGCCGCCAATGTTGCTGCCGTCCAACCAGCTCCCATCCCGATTTACAATCCCACTTATTTGGTTACTCAATCGAATAATCTCTATACCCAACATCAACAGCAATTGTTTAAGCCCGTCGAGGCAGCACCCGTTGTGGAGGCAGGCTATGTGAATGCCGATCTGACCCAAGAGGTGGCCAGCAATGGACAGATTTTACAGGCAGCCAAGGATTTGCACAGCAGTAATCAGGCTGTCTTAGATGTGGCACCACATTTTGCCGCTCTCATTGCAGCTCCAGCACTCGACCAAGAACATCAATCACTGGAAACGGCACCCTTCCATTTGCAAAATGTTGCTGGACCACCATCGGCCATAACATCGACGACTGAAGCTGGATTTGTTGTGTCAAACTACTACGGCAATGCTCATCAGGATTCCAGTCAATTACTGCAAGCCTATGCTGAGGAGGAGCAGGCTGAGGCTGAAAGACAGCAGTATGAGGAATTACAACAGCAACAACAACAATTCCAGCAACATCAGATACAACAACAACAGCAATTGCAACAACAACAGTTGCAGCAACAACAGCAGTTACAACATTTCCAACAACTACAACAGCAACAATTTGTGCAACAAAATCACCCACAAGCTTTGCAACAGCAACAATTAGATCCAGCCGCCTCAGCTTTCGAAGAGCATCAACGTTTGGTTAAACAACAATTAGGTGCCGATACACCACTGCGCATCTTTGTTCCCGATGAAGAGGTAAGCCTTCAGATTATTTTTCCAACAAAAAAGTTCACAGCTAAAAACATCTCTCTAATTTTTTTTCTTTTAAAGGCCCGTTTGCAAAAACGTTCCGACGACATCAGCAAGAGCTCCATTGAATACGTTGACAATGCCGAAGCGAGTGATGAGGCCCAATCCCATGACGAACTTTTCGAGGTTTCAACATCATCAGAGTCGGCCGAAGAGCAACTGCAACAACAAATGGACGAACAGCAGCAGCAGGAAGCACAAGAACCCCAACATTACCTAAGTTCAAATGAAGAACAAAAATAGACAGCTGAGATTCAAAACTGAACAGACTTCAAATTTATAAACCAAATTTTTAACGATATTTTCGAATTTAATTTTTAATTTTTATTTTTTTAATTTATAATAAAAGAAAAAATTATTTATTTATTTAATTTATTAAAAACAAGCATTTTTACTCAGGAGAATGTCGAAGTTAATTCGCCGAATTTAATTCTAATAGATAAAAAAACACTCAAGTATAAATTCAAAATTTATCAAAATTTCCTCTGATTCAGAATTGATATGCCAATCTTTGAGCGACATTTTCAACATTTAGTCTGTTCCAGAACTGCAAGAATGCTAGTTTTTACTACTAACCTATTTTTCCTTTATGACATCGAAGAAAATTGCAAAATTCTTGCAGTTACATATACATATCAATTATTTACTAGTGTTTAATTATCCTTATTACTTTTGCAATAGTTAAAGTTCATATTTTTCAAATTAATTTCGTAAATTGAGTGGCAATTTGAAATCCAGGATGATGTCCGTTTGCATCGGGCTGGAACTGGACGGTAACAATCGATCTTTTGTGCAAAACCATTATTCAAAATTGATAGTGCGTACTCTACTTTACGCATTAACCCAATAGATTGTAATCGATTTTTCGATTACAAACTGAAACGGCAACTTTGATATTTAAATCAAATGTCGACTTACAGATCCCTACATCTCCATTTGTTTTGTGTTAAAATAGCGCACGTTTACTTGCACGCTTGGACTTTTACTATTATTTTCGAAAAAACACAGCTAAAAATATTAAACAACCAACATGATTATTCCCATTCGCTGTTTCACCTGTGGCAAAGTTATTGGCAATAAATGGGAGTCGTATCTGGGCTTACTGCAAGCGGAATACACTGAGGGGTAAGACGAGCCACAAAGATTTCTAGAAAATCTTATAACGAAATATTTTTATTCTAGTGACGCTTTGGATGCCCTGGGTCTGAAACGCTACTGCTGTCGTCGTATGTTGTTGGGTCATGTGGATTTAATTGAAAAATTGCTGAATTATGCTCCTCTCGAGAAGTAAATGGTGGAATACCTTCCTTTAGATCTAATTTAATTTAAGGTTAGCATGTAAATAAATAAAACAATTTGACAATTTTCATGTAAAATAAAACGGCATTAACGCTTTGTTAATTACAAAACAATTGATGTGTAAAATGTACAAAAACAATTTGTATGTCTGTGGTCTACATTTTGTCCATAAACCATGGCTGGCCGTTTTTCTCACGACGTCTTGTCAGAATTTCGCAACCATTATCTGTTACCAGCAGAGTTTGCTCAAATTGTGCTGAATACAAGCCATCAGCTGTGACCGCAGTCCAATCATCGGGCCATTGTTCCGCCTTGGCAACGCCTTCGGAAATCATGGGCTCTATTGTAAAGGTATGGCCGGCTTTCATGACACCAACAGCCGTATTTTCTAAAAGGTAAATTAAAAAATGAAATGATTAACCTCTATTTTAAAAGAATGGAAAAAGCGAGGTTTTTGCTCTAATTTAAAATGCAATGATTTTCAAAAGCACACAAAAATGTATCACTCGATAAAAAAACGCATGAAGATTAGAATTTCTGTATGAAGTGACGTTATGTTTTATACAAATTTCGCCTAAGATGCAACAAGTTTTATAAAACATTTAAAAACAATCAGTTATTGTATGATTCAACAAATCTATTGCATCTTATTAGGGCCACTAAGAGGATGATTAAGGCAAGTCACATTTTTTTTTGATTGCTATGTTACAAATCGGTTATTGCTTTTGAATATTACAACCACAAATTTCAACTTTGTACTTACTCGCATAATGAGGCACATTCGGGGCAGTGTGAAATAGTCTGTGTATGCCATGACCACAATAACTCTTGACTACGCTGAAGCCATGTGGTGCAACATACTTTTGTATAACATTTCCGATTTCACGATACTTAACACCGGGCCTAACCAATTCAATGGCCTTACTCAATGCTTCGTAGGTGACTCGCACCAATTTCTTGTGTTTCTCCGAAACATTGCCCACAAAGAATGTTTCATTTAAATCGCCGTGGAATCCATGATGATAGACGGTTACGTCAATATTGCAAATATCGCCATCCTTTAAGGGCCTAAGATCAGGTATGCCGTGACAAATTACTTCATTGACTGAGGTACAACATGACTTGGGGAAATTGTAGTAGTTTAGAGGTGATGGATAACAGTCTCTTTCAATGGCTGCTTCATGTACCAAACGATCCAACTCGTCTGTGGTTACACCAACATCAACAGCTTGGGCGGCTGCATCTAAACATTCGCGGGCCAAACGACCTACCAAACGCATGGCTTCAATTTCATCGTCATCCAGGACTTTAATGGAAGTATTGCCACGCATGGCTTCCTCGGAAGCAGCCCTACCCTGAGGATGATCAGCATAGTCTGGACGTTCTATACTTTCAGGTACAGGCCTCTTTGGCGTTTTTTCAGATGGACGTAATTTGCCGGTGAAGCGGTAATGAGGCCATGGGTTATAGCCGCCATCGTCTTCGTTGGCTTTGGGTTTGGCGGCGCCTTCTACAATAACATAACGTAATAATTGATTGGGGGATAATTTTATGTATTATCTCTTACCAGCCAAAGCATGAATTAGCTTGTGCTCCTTCCAGAAACCCTTAAAGCATGGCTGCGAGCAGAAATAGGAACCAGGAATTCCCATTTTCAAGCACGTTGGACACTGCAACGTTGCCTCCTTGCCACAATTGGGAGTTTCACATTTGTGCACCATTTCGAGAGATTATTTGCCGGCGTGGGGTGGTTATCTCCCGCTATATGGATCAGAGAAAAGTGCACTTTATTTGGACACTAAAGTAGAAAAAAGAGATGAAAATTCTAAAAATAGTTCCTATCACTGCATTCGCCAATTAACTAGAGCTGCCGACCAATCGATGACACAATAATCGATAGTGCAGCTGCTTCTTTATCAGTGTTCAATTCAAAGTGAATTGATGCTTGCTTCATCTTCCTTCTTTGTGTTTCTCTGGCATGCAACTGAGTTGATATCACAACGCCTGCCGGTGTGTGAAATGTTGCCAGATATGAAAAATATTAGTTGAATGAATGGAAAGGCATAATTGTTGGCGGGGAATCAAGTTTTCTTTTAAAATATTAAGCTATTATTAAAAACTTTAACATTAAATATAAGTCATGCGAAAAACGTATTAAAACAATCTTCAAGTGTGGTCGTTTTATTCATAATAAAGTATTAGCTTATAATATTTTATGGAATACACTCATATTTAAATCTTAAGCCTATTCCGCTGATTTTTAAAAATATATGGGGCTGTTTTTCACAATGAAAAAAAAAAAACAACAAAATTCAGAATATCAATCAATATAATTTAATATTAGAAGGCTAATTTATGATTATTTCATCAGTGCCAAAGAGATAATGGATAAAAATTAGTAAATCAAAGGATGTCCACAATTACCAAAAAGATATTTGTTTGGTAAGAATTTTCAAACTCCCATTAATAGAAATGTCCAAATTTATATTTTCAATCACTACAGTTTGTTAAACAGACGACTTTTAGTGGCAATTGCAACAATTAATTAATTTTTATGTTATTATCGTATAGGTATACTGTGCATTTTTTTGTTTTAAATCGGCAAATGCCACCAATAATTTTAATATTATTAAAAAATATCAAGAAAATTAAGAAATTACTTTTTTTTTACAATTTGAAGAACCAAATATTTTGTTTTTCTAAATATTTTGTATTTCTCACACCAATACATACACACAAATGTCCTGTTGAGCATTTAACCAAAAATGAAGATGTTCAAACCATTTGTTGTGCATGCAGCAGGTTTGATTCAAACATCGAACTTTAATGATTTTCTTGAGATGGGACTTTAGAGATGGACATTTGAAAATGCATTTTTTTATTATAGAATTCTATTACCTTTGATAACCTCTACGATATGAAAAACTTAAATAATATCCAAATCAGGCGGAAAAAGTTTTTCGAAATGGATAACAAATGGGTGTCTACCTTCACATGGGCAATATACAAAAAGCGGTTAAGAGCCCCGAATACCAAAGTAAGGCATATTCTGTTGAAAGTACGATTTGGGTATTTAGTTGGCATTCTAAAAACGGAACAACCTTCTTATTTCTTTTTTGGGAAATTGGTATTTAAAATATCTAATCATCATACCAGAAAGATCTGACTATGATTTTGAAAATATTATTTAGTTCGACGGGCAAAATATTGGTACAGGACGACAAATTTAAATTTTTTCAATAATTATGGGGAAAACCAGCAGATTATGAAAGTAGAGCTAAAAAAGAAGACACGTGTATCCGCATTTTGAAAGTTTATATCGCAAAGTAACTTAAATAGAGGGAGAATTTTCCCCCTCTTACACATTTTTTTTTTGAAAATTTCGAATTAAGATTCCTATCAATCTGTTGATATTGCCGAAGGCACTGTATACCTAAAAGTGCCTTGGCAATATTGCAGATGACAATACAAGGATTATTTACTTTTGTAATAAGACAAAATATTCTACGAATTTATTTGACCTGAAATTTTACTTTAGGCCCCGGAAGACAAAAAACTTTAAATCTTAACTAAAAACTCTAAAATTCACCATATTTTTTAAAAACTCATTTTAGGGTTAAATCCATACTTTATCTGAGTCTGTGCAAAAATCTCCAACAAAGCATCATTTCAGAAGGTTGGCATCAAAGAAAAAAGTATTCCTCATCAAATTTCACTATAAGTCGCCAAAGAAAAGAAATCTCTATTTCCATTATATATCAAGAAAAAATTTGTACCAATATTGTCAAAAAAAATTTATAAAAAAAGTGAGAATATTTTCGACTTTTTATGGATTTTTTTGGTATGCAGGGCAAATACATATTTCTTTTGTTTGGTAAATTTTAGTGAAATTTTATGAAGAATATTCCCGGCTTTGACGCAACCTTTCTAAAATAAAATTTTGTAGGAGAATTTTACATAAACCCATATGAGGTATGTTAAATTAACATTAAAAAAAGCAAACAGTACATAAATTTCGAATGTAAATTTCTTAAAAAAAAATTTGTGTAAAATATTTCTTCTTTCGGAACCTTTCGTCTAAAACAAAATTTCATGTTACTTTAAGGCATAAACTCGAAAAAGTTCCAGGAAAATTGATTAAAAAATATGGAGATATTTTTGCTTTTTTTGGGCAAAACTCAAAGAAATATTTTCTTGATATGCGGTGGATATAGAAATTTCTTTTCTTTGGTGACTTATAGTGAAATTTAATGAGGAATATTTTTTTCCTTGAGGTCATCTTTCTAAAATAATATTTTGTAGGAGAATTTTACATCACCTCATTTGAGGTATGTTAGATTAAAAGTAAACCAAGCAAATACATAATTTTCAGTAGCATAAATTTCGAACGTAATTTTCTTAAGAGCCATTGTACCTAGATAAATGGTTTATGCTAAGACTTGGGGTGAAATTTTGTGTAGAATATTTCTTCTTTGAAACCTTCCGCCTAAAACGAGATTTTATGTTACTTTCAGGCGTCAACATAAAAGTCCCAGGAAAAATGAATCAAAAAATAGGAAAATATTTTTACTTTTTTTTTCCAAAATTAAAACAAAGATTTTCTTGATATATAATGGAAATAAAGATTTCTTTTATTTGGTAACTCATAGTGAAATTCGATGGAGAATATTTTTGTCTTTGACATCATCCTTGTAAAATGGTGCTTCGTAGGAAAATTTCACATAAATTCATATGAGGTATGTTAAATTAACAGTAAACAAGCAAACACATTTTTTTCTCTTGTAGTACATAAATTTCGATTATAATTTTCATGAAAGCCATTGTACTAATATATATGGTATATTCTGAGACTTATAGTGAAATTCGATGAGGAATATTTTTGTCTTTGACATTATCCTTCTAAAATAAGGCTTTGTTGGAGATTTTTGCATAAACTCACATAAACTAAGGTTTTAACCCTAAAATGTGCTTTTGATAAATATGACTTCCTGGGAATTTGGTAAAATTTAGACTTTTGATGTCTTCTAGGACCTATAGTAGAATTTTATGAGATAATGCTAGGATCCCGTTCAGGGGGAGTTTTTAATAATATTTTTCAAAATGGACCAAAAAGACACATTTTTTGGTTCGCTCGACGGCTAAAAAGGTTTATTTTTTTGGTAACTTATAGCGAAATTCGATGAAGAACATTGTTGGCTTTGACATCGTCCTTTTCGAATAATGTTTTGTAGGGGATTTTTGCATTATCTCACATAAAGTGAGGCTTTAACCCTCAAGTGTGTTTTTGGTAAATATAACTTTAAGATTTAGAATTTTATGACAAATAATTTTGTAGAATATTTTGACTTGCTAGGATCAGTTTTTAATAATATTTTTAAAAATAGACCAAGACCACTTTTTTGGTTAAATCGAGGGTTAAGAAATTCTACTAAATATTCCTCATGTTTTTATCTACAATATTGCCAAAGACACTGTAAACCTAAGATGCACGGATTCCAAGGAATCTTAATTCGAACATTTCCAAAAGCCTCACATAAAGTGAGGCTTTAACCCTAAAGTGTCTTTTCAATATATATGCATTTCTGGCGTTTAGGTAAGATTTAGGTTTTTGATGTCTTCTTGGACCCGTAGTAGATTTTTATGACAAATAATTTTGTGGAATATTTTGACTTTCTAGGATCCCATTTAGGGGAAGTTTTTAATAATATGGACCAAAAAGACCCTTTTTTGGTTAAATCGAGGGTTAAGAAAATTCACCAAAAAAATCTTGGTATTTTTACCTGCAATATTTCCAAAGACACTATATAGCTAAAATACACGGATTCCGAGGAATCTTAATTCGAAAATTTCCAAAAGCCTCATATTAAGTGAGGCTTTAACCCCAAAGTATGTTTTCAGTATATATGCATTTCTGGCGTTTAGGTAAGATTTAAAGTTTTGATGTCTTCTGGGGCCTATAGTAGATTTTTATGACAAATAATTTTGTAGAATATTTTGACTTACTAGGATCAGGTTTAGAGGGAGTTTTTAATAATATTTTTAAAAATGGACCAAAAAGACCCATTTTTTGGTTAAATCGTGGGTTAAAAAATACTACTAAAATATTCCTCATGATTTTATCTACAATATTGCCAAAGACACTGTAAACCTAATATGCACGGATTCCAAGGAAGCTTAATTCGAAAATTTCCAAAAGCCATTTCACATAAAGTGAGGTTTTAACCCTAAGGTGTGTTATCAATATATATAAAATTTCTAGCGATTATAGTAGATTTTTATGGCAAATAATTTTGTGGAATATTTTGACTTGCTAGGATCCCGTTTAGGGGCAGTTTTTAATAACATTTTTAAAAATGGACCAAAAAGACCACTTTTTTGGTTCGCTTGAGGTTTAAAAAATTCTACCAGAATAATCCTTGTGCTTTTATCTGCAATATTGCCGAAGACACTATATATAGCTAAAATGGATTCTAAGGATTCTTAATTCGAAAATTTCCAAAAGACTCACATAAAGTGAGGCATTAACCCTCAAGCGTGTTTTCTTTATATATAAATAAGATTTAGGGGTTTTGATGTCTTCTGAGGCCTATAGTAGATTTTTATGACAAATAATTTTGTGGAATATTTTGACTTGCTAGATCAGGTTTAGGGGGAGTTTTTAATAATAATTTTAAAAATGGACCAAAAAGACCACTTTTTTGGTTCGCCCGAGGGTTAAAAAACCCCACCAAAAATTCTTCGGGCTTTTATCTACAATATTGCCAAAGACACTGTAAACCTAAAATGCACGGATACCAAGGAATCTTAAATTTCCAAAAGACTCCCCTTTAAGGGGAGTTTTTAGCCATATTTTTCAAAAAGGGCCGAAATGACCCCTTTTTTGTCTCGCTCGAGGGTTAAAATCTTTAACAAAAATATTCCTTGTATTTTTATCTACAATATTGCCAAAGGCTCTATAAACCTAAAATGCTTAGATTCCAAGGAATATTAACTCAAGCATTTCCAAAATTGTGGAAGTGGTTTCTTCCACTTGCCCCCTCTATTTTGGTTAGTTTTCCATTTAAATTTTCAAAACGCCGAAATTATTTTTTGTGTTGCACATTTTTTTAAACGTTCTCCCTCAATTCTCAACGAGCATCCCTAACGGGAATTTCAACAACAAGTAGCTGAAGTCGCATCCATGCTGTTTTGTTTTGTTCGATGCGAATGTTGGGGGGATGCTTAGTTGTAATGTTGTTGCTGTTGTCGTTGATACCACATTCGGTTGGATGTCTGACTGATGTGTGATGTGGTCGTCCGTTCGGGATACACTTGTCTGGATTGTTATTGTGTCGTCGGCAAACATTTGAAAGTAAACTTTTACGAACGCCAGTTTAGTTGAGTACGAGACGAGCAACGCTGCGGTAACGGTTACGGAAAACGAAAAAGAAAAAACTAAAAGCTGAGAAAATAAAAACAAAGAAAACTGTGTGACATAAAGAAACCAAGAAAAAAAGAAATATTACCTAGAATTATATGATAATGATGTTGATGATGAGCCCGTATTGAAGTAAGGCAGGAAAATTGATATTGAATACAACGACAGAAGTAAATCAAATGGGACTTGAATAATTTATTTTCACTGCAAATACACTGAAACCTATAGGCATTTGGTGGGTTCTTGATGTTCGATTCGATTCCATGTTCGACAAGAGATAAGCAAAGACGCGCGCGAATTTGCCCCCCAAAAAAGAAAGTCAGAAAAACAAATAAGAAGAGTAGTGATAACGACGAAAACAATCGCAGAGATATCGGAATCTACGACTCAAACAGGAGTAAATAAATATTTGATGCGAAATTATTTGTTCGAAGATGCTTCAGGTGGAATAACGGTAACTATTTAATAACAACAACAGCAACAAATCACTGTTATTCTTATAGCCCCGTTGTTGTTGCATTGCAAGTTTGTTCGTTCGTTCGCAACCAAGTGAATCCATGGAAATGTATTAGTGAGCAAATGTGTGTGTCTGTGAGTGTGTGTTTTGACGGTTAAAACATTCTAGCATTGCAACGCAATACCAAACGGAAAACGGAAGTGCTTCTTCGCCAGCTATCAATTTTGCTTCATTGCAATTTTTCGACTGTGTGTTGGTGTTGTTGGTAGTTAAGTTGGTACGCTGTTGTTATTGTTGTCGAGTTGCAATTTCACCGATATTTGATTTTTTTCTCGTGTGTGTGCCTGTGTTTCCTTTCTTCTTTTGCTTTCTGCGAATATCATAACCGTTATTTGATTTATTAACAGTGAAACGAATTTTCATGTAAACAGCTCGGAACAAAGGGTTAACGCAATTTGCAATTTTTGCTTCTTTTTACGCGGAAATTCTTTGGTAACGAATCTGAGGGCTCACAATTTTGTTTTTGGGAGATTCTCAAACAAAAGGCGCAAACTGCTTGCTTGCTTCAGTGTTTGATTTGCCTGCTCGCACGGAAACATCCAAACATACCTACATCGAAATTAAATTATAGTAAATAGCGCTGCATTTGTTTAGGTTTTTTTTCTGCATCGTCGTGTTGAAATCTGCCGGTCTGCTTTTTATATCGCCTTGCAAATAGAGGTAAGTAGTGTAAAATCATTTAAATTATTTTCTTTTGTTGATACGTACGTATGTAGCTATGTTCGAAATAATGCGAAAAAACGAAAGAACTATTTAAAAAATGCAACAGTTGTGTTGGGGAAAGTAGATATTTTAGGTCTGTTACTAGGAAATAACTTTTAAACATGAAGTAAAATTCGTTTCAATCGATTTTTCTAGCTATCAAAAAAAAAAAAAAAAAAAAATTATTCAAAATTTTGACCCCATGTGGGGGAGGTGCCAGAAGGAATGGTCCTATATATTCATATATTCACACCAGATCTTGCTTTAGTAGAAATATTGAGATATGTAAAAATTTAAGAGAATTCGACGACCAATTCGTACTTTGTGATCGTTTTGATTATTCAAAATTTTGACCCTTTGTGGAAGAGGTGGTGGAAGAAGGAGTGGTCCGATATCTGCCATCTTCACAAAGAATCATGTGTTGATGGAAATATTGATATGTGCCGAGTTCGAAATAATTCGAATGTCCTTTCCGTGTTTTGGGAGTTTCATGGCTATTCGCAAATTTGACCCTTGTGGGGGAGTTACCAGAAGTAGTGGACTCATATGTCTCATTTTCATTCCAGATCTTGTGTAAAACAATTGAGATATGTGAAATATGAAGAGAAAGGCATGTTTATTTCGGATTTTATGATCATTTTGGTTATTCAAAACTTTGACCCTTTGTGGGGGAGCTACCAGAAGGAATGGTCCGATCTGTACCGTCTTTTTTACAGATCTTGTGTTAATGGAAATATTGAGTGTATTGAATGGAATCAGTTGTTATCTTCGCTTTTTATGAGCTTCATGGATATTTTTTAAGCCAGAAACAGTGGGTCAATATATCCTATCTTCACACCAGATCTTAAATTTAGGTTGCTTTAAGGATAGAGAACCATCTTACTAAAACAAATTCCTTAAAGGGGTTTTGAATTCTCATGCCAAATTTTCATTTTATGGTATAGTCCAAGATAACAGTACCCCCTTAGTGCACGTTCCCAACCAATATACTCTGGTTGGTGGAAAATTCCAATTGTGGGTGATAATATCAGATGTAAGTATTATATCAGAATAGAATAGGGAGATCTGGGACTATACCCTAAAATAAAAAATTGGCACGCGAATTTAAAACCCTAAGGGATTCCCTCTGCCCCTAAAGTGGCCCACAGTGTCAGTTGTTGGGGAATTTCCGAGACGTTTTATATTTTCCACTGTGTACACTGTCCTAAGTACTAATGCCCTCAGGATTATGGTTAAATGGGCTTATAGGTCAAAAAAGTGTTTTATAGAAATAAAGGATTTTTACCTAAAACTTATTTGGACGAAATCGTTTTTAGAACTTTTTTAAAGCGAGTCTTCCATTTTACTCAAAATTTTTAATCAAAACATTTTAAAAAAGTTGGCGTATTTCGTTCATTTCAAGTGGGACCACTCTGAATGCATGGTCAAAATTTTCTTAGTTTACGAACACTTAGAAAATTAAAAAAAAAAAACACTGTATTTAAATAAAATACAGTGCTCGTCATAGATAGAGGGTGTATCGACTAATATCTTCGGAATTGTTCAACATTTTATTTGTGATTGTATAAAAACAATTTGCTGGTCTACCTAATATCCGACGTACAGTAAAAAAAAATACTCGCCATCCCCACCATTGTATTCTGCTTTGTGCGACAGTATTTCTCAAATCAAGACTACCAAATAAATCACATCCAAGTTAAAAAAAGAAAATTTCTCCTATTTGTTAAGTTTTTCAATTAGATTATATCTATTATTTATGTATTTTTTAATTAAGGAAAGCTCGTGTAAACATATATTTAAATTTTTTTTAAATTTAAAAACCAAGGTAAATTACAAATCTACCCATGATCTTCTCACCATACAAATATTCCCCACTAAATTGCTATATTTTTGGACTAAATTGCTATTTGCCAAAGGAAAATTCCACACTGATCCTCACAATTTGTTTACAATCTCTAAAACAAAACATTTCATTTCACAGCATTAATCAACATCGTGTCCACTTTCATATCTGACCCTATGTTCATCTGTACATAAGGCCGAAAACGAAATGTCTGGAAAATTTTATAACATCATAGAAACTAATTACTTATTTTGGGTGAAATACCCACAGATGTGCGGATGTTGTTATCACTTCATATGGGGTTTGTACTCAATTATGTGCCTACATAAATACAAAAGACAACAAATTCCTATAAAAACAAGTAATAACAACGTTAAACCCGTCGTAATCATAAGCAATCGGATGAATAATGTGATGTAGGTCCCAAAAACCCTAAGGTTTGAAGTTTTTACTAGATGATCGATAGTATAAAATTACAGTTCATTTTGTTGGAATATTCGGCTACCAATTTCAAAACCTTTATATGGAGATAGGTGTTGTAACAGGTTATTTTTGAAGTAGTATTGAAATAATAAAAATAAGTAAATATACCCATTGTAAACATATCCAAACTAGGACACTTCAAATCGGTCGATTTTATCTTACAATGTGGACTTATATTGAAAATATTTTGAGGAATTTTTTGTTTCTAAAGAGAACTGATGTTGGTACATCAATTGTGGCTGACACCATCGAAATACCTTAAATTGTATCAGAAGGATTGCGACCAATTGGGGATTTCCAATTTCAAACTTTATTTTTTTTATTTATATGCGAGTATAAATGTGTAGCATATGCTGTGTTCTAGAACCTCCAAGAATTTACTAGATTTTTTCCGATTTCATAAATGAAATAACTGAATAATCGGCTATTATAGTAGTGTTTCGATAGCAAAGAATGAACCAAAGGCTTGCAAATATTACAAATATTTATATGACAAAGAGTGGGATAATAAATTCCTGCTAAAATAGAAGTTCCGGCCAAATGTAGTAAGATGTTGACCAAAAATACACCTAATGTGTTATAATACATTCAAAATTAGTTATAATTTCGAAAAGTGTTAAATGTAAAAATTTTGAAAATGTAGAGAAGAGAAAAAATGTCGTCACAAAAATGTCCAGTGTTTTCCGAACATTTGGAATTTGGAAATTTATCAGTAGCCCACCAAGTAAGCATATTTTAAAGTGCCTAACGACATTTTTAGCTGGATTAATTTAAATTTTAACATATGTGTCCATGTCCATCCATCTATGTCCTAAAATGTTGAGATTTTCGATAACTTTTCAAGAAGAACTTTTAATTTCATATTGATGAAAAAAAAAGAGTAGAATGCATCGAGGTGGCAGTCGCTGGCCGCAACTGAGATGTTATTTTTCTGGTCAATCCGGTATCGTAGAACCCGCTGCTGAATATGCAGGTCGAGCGAAATATAATTTCCACCACGAACTTCGAACTAGATGTCCCATTCGACAGTATGTTCAAATCTTTCGCTCAAGCCACAGGAAAAAGTCCTCAAGGCGCTAGCCGACAGCACTTAGGATTCGGACAAGGTCACGATGTGGTCAGCTATACGTCCCCAAAGAGGTTTGCGAATACCTGTGCTACACAGTGGAACAACATCAAGACCTGTCAGAATGCTGGCATGAGAATGGCGACAGTGCGCCTCCTCGTAACACCAGGGGAAAATTCATATGAGGAAGCGAAGATTATTTTATAACCTTTTTGGGTATTATCGTGCAAGCTATCTAAACCATCATATGGTGGCCAGAGTGGCATTTATACTCCTGCAGATAAAGATACCATGGACAATTACAGTAGGAATGCCGTTCTTGGAGTCCACCCCCTATTCTTTACAATTTCGTTCAGGATGGTGCAGTATTCTCAATACGTATTGGACACGAATTGACGAAGATGTGCGAAACGTTTGTCCTGCATATGGTACAGGCCCGCACAATACGATTGACCCATTTAAATACCCTGCCAAACCCATCCCACTCACTCCAGAAGAACTTTGGTTACAACGTCGCTAAAATATCCGAAGTTTATAACTTGGAGTTATATCCAGATGGGCAAAAATAAATAATAAAAACCCTATAAGTTCGGCCGGGCTGAACTTTAAATACCATTTGGAACGAATTTGGAAATTTTCAAAAGAAACAAAATCCATTAAAAATTATGTTAAAATCTTAAAAATATCGAATGTAGCCGTATATTAGGGTCTATAAAACGACATGGACCTGCATAGGCAACTTTTTGGTGATAGGAACTATTAAGAATATGTCGATATACTTTATGAGATCTGCTTCGATATTTTGAGAATCCAAAAGTACCCTCAAACTTATTATACTTTTGGCTAATTGCATCGCAAGACATAAGTAATTAGCGGCATAATAAAAGAAATAAGTGTTTTCTTTATGGACTAATTGCCGATGAACATGCCCCCTCTTTTAATTGAAAATATAGAGCGCAAAAAATCCAAAGAACCATCTTCGTAAAAAAAATAAATTAAAATTTCTGTGACCCCTGTTGTACCCAGTAACGTAAAATACATTTGTGACAAAACAAAACGCTGCAGCGGCAGAATTTTTTAATGCCCGCAATTAATGCATGGCGAGTGATAAGGTCCCATTCACAGGGTGGTGTTTGTGCCAAGGTCATTTTGTATCACGTTTCATTTCAGCGACTAATCCTCCTTACAACGCTGCTATTTAATTCAACATGACTGTATGGCATGTCTGAGTGATATTAAATGGGGATAAAGAGAGAGAGAGAGAGAGCGAGCGAGAGTAAAATATTGTGATGATAGAATATTTATTGGTTGCTATTGCCATTGATGCGACTGCTGTTGCTGTTGTTATTTGATGCTGCCAATGCTGTTTTTGTTGTTGTTATTATTATTGTTTTGTATCATTTTTTGTTCGTTTCGTTGGGATTCTGGGTTCTTATCAGTTCGGCCAGTATGTGACCATCCATACTGTAGTACTACTATCTATGTTATTATATTTTTTTTGTTTGTGTACTTTCCCATAAAGGCAAATATGCCACACACACACACGCACACACACTCACTTACACA